ACTGCACACGGTTATCTGTGTGTGTTATGTAGTGGTGATGACTTTTTATTGAGATTTATTTTATTTATTTGAAAGGCAGAGTGACAGAGAGAGAGGGGGGGAGAGAGAGGAAGCGCTCTCACATCCGCTCACCCCGCCGATGGCTGCAATGGCTGGGCCCGGGCCAGGAGCTCCCTCTGGGTCTCCCAGGCGGGTGCAGGGGCCCAAGGACTTGGCCGTCCTCTGCTGCTTTCCCAGGTGCTTTAGCAGGAAGCCGGGAGTTGAACGGGTGCTCTGACATGGGATGTTTAACTCACTGTGTCACAAACCGCTCCTGATGATGACATTTTGAACATCGTCATTAGCTGCAGAAAGGGTCGAATGGCCCCTTACTTCGTTTGTCGTGTGTACCCAACCCTTTGGCCTCTGGGCAGCACAGAATGAAGTTATGGGGCCTTTGGAAAGATGAACATGGTGCCTGATTCACTTCCAAACGGCTTCCTGCTTAGCTGTTGGCCTGCAGTTGGAATTAATACAGCAGATCTGGCAACAGGTTCTCACGGCAGTGCCTCGCAGCACTGAGATCCCTGGGTTTATTTCGCGGGGAACACTTTGCTCTTTGAAGATGAGAATTGGCGGGCTGGGAGTCACAGGTGAGGCTCCTCAGAGGCGCTTGACCTGGGCCAGCTGGTGCAGTAAGCGCTCGGCCCGTGTCTCCCTCGAGGAGCAGGACGGGCAATGTCTTCTAGAAGCTGAAAGCCGCATGTTGACAGTGTTGTTCTGAGATACGCAGTAGGATGCGCCTGCAAACAAGGGCAGGACCATGGGATTCTTCACCTGTGGTCCTCACCTTTGACCTTAGCCTGGTGGTGGTGTTAGGGACTCACTCACCGAGGGTATGAGGGTACGAGGGCTTTGTGCTTCCATCCTTGGCTACGGCTTTGGGATGGATTCCTTCTAGCCACTGGAGTTTTTTCATATGTAATATTGTGCTTCTCGCCAAAGCCAGGGCTTTTGTTCATCCAGAAGGGGTGATCAGGACCAGAGGCGGTCCTTCTTGAAGGAGGTGGGGCCTCCCTTAAGGAGTACCGTCTCGGAAAATCACCTGTGTGGCAGGACGGGGAACCGTGTCTGGCTTCGTTTTTCCTGGGGCAACAGTTTGAAGCCTGTGGACACCAAGGAGGTCTGACCGCAGGTGGCCAGGGGAAGACGGCCCTCACCAGTGGAGGCTGGCCAAGGGCAGGGCCTTGGGAACGGGGCGTGGAAGCTGGGAAACTACACCGACTCGTTGTCTGTGGGACGCATTTCCCCCTCTGAATTCAGGGGCTGGGCTGCACGTTCCCGTCTCCTTCTCAGTCGTGTGTAAGCATGTGACGGACTTCAAGATGGTGAGCAAGGTGGGAATGACGCGTGCCTGGCCCAGGCCTGGCCGCAGAGGCCTCCCGGGGGAGGTCCCGGGCCTTTATCCTCATTGTCCCGGCCAGAGGAGCTCCCTGAGGTTGGAGCTTGCCGCTGAGAAAAGCAGACTCCAGACAGAAGGGAGCTGGGTTCCCGCCCCACTGGGCAGAGAATCCCGGCCGTCAATCAAGAATGCCTCTCTGGACTTCATGTGATTTCAGACGCTCTCTCCTTCCTTTTTATGGTTGGGCCATTCATACCTTATTAAGATTACTTGGAAGAGTGGGTAATGTTATCTTAGCTAGAGTATACACCTTACACATTTGCATATCAATTGACCAAGTACTCTCAAGTCCTGGTGAAAGTGTGAACGCTGGAGCCGTCTGAGGATTTGTGTCCTGGACCTGTTGGCTCTCCGGGGTCCTCAGAGGTCAGTCTCTGAGCGGCAGCTGAGAGGCTGTGCCCCTTTCTCCCCTCCTCTGCATCCCAAACTCGGATGTTGTGTGCTGGAGGCAGGGAGTTTTGACCTGGTTGTGCTAATTCACCTGCGTTCTCTTTCCTTATCTCTTTCTCTTCTTCTGTTGTAAGCCACAGAGCTCACTTACCAGAGCTGGGAAAGCAAACTGCTCCTGCAGGCTGCAGAAGGGCCAATGGCAATCACCTGCCAATCTCAGGGTCCCTGAGGAAACACTTCCTGGGCGGGGACACCTGCGAGAGCTCAGACCTCGCTGACTTATTTACAGTGGCATCCCCAGCCCCTGACGCGGAGTGGGCGCCCAATAAATACCTGCCAATTACATCAGCACCGATCACGGGCGCCGCGGGGAGAATATTGGCAAGAAGACAAAGGGAAAATCTTTACCTTCCTGAGGGTGACCGCTATCTTTCAGGAGGACGCAGCCAGTGCCGTGGAGGGAGGGGCGTCAGTTATCCGATAGACGCAGCACTTTTGCAAGACCAAAGCCACCCCTACCCCATTGAATCCTTGAGTGCTGACTGATGTTCAAGCAGTTGGGTAGGTGGTGGGTGAACCTGCGGAATGACATCTGCTGGATTCAGCCAGGTCGTCCTTCAACCCCGTGAGTGTGTCTGACGATCATGGACCACGTGGCTGATGCGGGAGGCTGGTGCTAGTGAGAGTGGGGCACAGTTGTCTCGGTCGTCTGGGTGGACTAATTGGCGGGGCGCTTTGCCAGGCTGCAGGTGGGAAGCACCTGTCTGGCCTGGCTCCCTGCTGCCTGGAATAGGAGGACTTGAATCCCGTCTTTATGTTCTCACCCTCCTGAGCCGCCTGGGAGGGCTGCCGCACGCCATCGGCATGAGACGCCAGTGCACCGCTGCCGTGGCTCACCAGGGCCAGGCTTGCCTCGCAGAGTCTGTGACAGCTTCACTTGTCACCACTGGGGCTGGGTGGAGCGTGGCTAGGCCCGCGGCCTGCCGTAGGCAGAGACCAGGGTCCTGCTGACCGCCCTGCAGGGCAGCTGTCCCTCCTCCTCCTCCACACGAGTTACCTGGCCCGGAATATCAATACTGCTGAGCTGGGAAGCCCTGCGCTCGCTCGCTCGAGTAGCTGACCTCATCGGCAGATCTTTGGAGAAGAGGGGAGAGAGGGGGCAGGGCGACCAAAAGGCAGGAACAGAAAACGGTGATGTTGGGAGACTCCCGCTGGGCTGCTGGGCTATCTTCACGCCCTGGGGGCTCCCGGCCAGCATTCCGGATCCAGAAACAAGCTGGGGCTGGACTGCACCTCCAAGGGCGTGGCTCTGTCTGAAGAGAACAGAGGTCCAAGGGACAGGGAGCGGATGAGGGCGGGACCCCTGAGCTGAAGACGTTCCTCATTCCTTGGCTGGAGTGTGTGCCCCTCACGCTCTCCGTTCTCGTGCCTACAGGCAGCCTGAGTTCCTGGCTCTCCTGAGCCCCCTGAGGCCCCGCCTGTGCCCTGAGACTCCTGACCCACACGCCCACCTCCCCTCCCAGGCCTCCCAGGCAGCCACGCTGGCCCAGGCCACCGCAATGGGTTTTCTCAGGCGCCGGTCAACAGCCCAGGACGTCACCCGGCCATGGACGTGGGAGCAGCGTGAGAGATCGTCCCTTCTTAGCCCCTGAGCAGAAACACAAGGAAAGCAAGTGGGGTCCAGAGAAGGTAAATGCTGCATCTGACGTCCCAGTGGAGACCCTGGGCGTACAGCTGGCTCTACTGCCTCCGTCCGGCGTCTCTCTCTAACACGTAGTCTTTGCGGCAACCAGTAACTGAGCAAGAGAAGCCGAGCAATAGCTGTGAAATGTCACCGTTTAAATGCTTGTCCAGAGCCTCCTTGTAGTCACGCATCCCAAATTCAGTTTGTAGAATCAAGTTTTCAATGCCTTTTATTGATCTGTTGTTGAGATTGGTCCGCGTTCTGTTGCTGCTGCTGTGTGAGACATTATCCGATCTCAGTGTCCTGCCGTGGCCGCCTGACCTGTCTCACAGCGTGGGGGCGGGGCAGGCATTTGGGAAGGACTTAGTAGAGCACTTGTTCGTGGCTCCCATACTGTTGCGGGGGGGAGGGGCAGGAGTTGTCTGTGTTCCCTCTGTTCTGGGTGTCCCGGATGAGTCGCCCATGGGTGACAGCTGATGGCGGCTGCTCCCAGTTCTGCTAAGAGTGTCACCGTCTACTGGAGTGCCCCCCTGGTGTGGTCCCCTCAGCTCTCAAGCCTGGTCACCTTAGTGCAGTCCGGCCTCCTATGTGGAGACTTAGCCAGTGGCCCGCAGGTCTCAGCCTGATTCGCAGCCCTCAAAGGTACCTTCAGATCGCAGCGTTTTTATGATCTCGCCTGGAAGGGTGGCAGTAATTCTTCTGTTACAGTCTGCCGGGTAATAAGAGAGTTATTGCGCTCGGCGAAGATTCAAGGGTAGGGAACATAGGTCTCACCTCTTGCTGGTAGGTGTGACAAAGCATTTGTAGACAAGGTTTAAAAATGGTTCCAGTTTGGATTCCAGAATTAAAGAGTTTTCACTAAAGAAATACTAATTAGGTTACTTCAGAAAGTCTCCCATTGTTTTTTTGCGAATTTGTTAGGTTTCAAACTCAGTTCATAAAATAGAAGGGATGCTACTCTTGTACCTTACTCAGCTTCCCTGGCCTTAGGTTTGCACCTCGGGGTTAATGATGCGGAGCTGTGAGATGAGAGGTCTGTTTTGGGGACTGAGCGGCACTGGTAAATGACGGCTGGACAAAGCTCTCAGAGCTGACGTGCGGCCACATGGGATGCCAGCTCGTATTTACTGAAGCTTGTTGCACGGCAGCCTTTCAAATCTCCAGAGGGGGCCAGGGAAGACCAGCGCTGCCTAGTTCACCAGGTACCAGGTGGTGGAGAACTGCGAGGTAGCAGGAGCCCCAGGCGGGCAGCCCGACACACAGGGGCGCCCGTCCTCGTCCTCGTCCTCGTCCTCGTGCAGACTCCTCACTGTGAGTTAAGGGGCGGAGGACGTGGGATGGGTGTCTTCCCACCATCTTTGGGACACAGGCACCTGTGACCTGGTGGGCTCGGTGGACACAGGCACCTGTGACCCGGTGGGCTCCGTGGACACAGGCACCTGTGACCCGGTGGGCTCCGTGGACACAGGCACCTGTGACCCGGTGGGCTCCGTGGACACAGGCACCTGTGACCCGGTGGGCTTGGTGGCCTCTCAGCTGCAGGGCTGGGCCTCCCTTGCTCGGGGCTGTTTGAAGGTGGTGGTTGGGAGGTCCCTGGGTGGTGGGCACCTGGGAGGGGCGGCTGCGTGCTTGCTGGGTTTAGAACTCATTCAGAAGGCTGAGAACTGTTGGGCACTTCTCGGGAATCCTTGATTCTACCTTGCAAGCTTTGTGCAGTGATTTGTCAACTGCGCTTTGCAGACAGCCCAGCCCGGCCAGCAATAGAGACCTGCAGCCTTCCAGTGAGTGCTGCTCACAAGCAACCAGAGGCCTTCGGGGCGGTCTCCCTGTCACTGGCCGTCAGTGTTGTTGGAGACCTGGAGACCTCCTCCAGCGCCAATAGGCAGAGGCGAGCAGGGCGTCATGGGCCACATATGGGGTTGCAAACCCTCGGTGCCGGCTGAGTGCCCTGCCCTGGTCACCGGTGTTAAGCCGAGTTGGGAGCATCACGACCTGGGTGGAAAGTTGACCCAGGAAGATGTCTCAGAGGATCTTCAGACCTGTCCTCAGGTCAGTCTTCTTCAGTGAGGCATGGTCCTGGCACGGTCCTGAGCTCTCACAGCGGCCCCGGTGGTAGGAGCTGGGCAGTCCTACCTCTAAGGCAGGTGCACCTGTTGGTGAGATGGGCGGTATCATGTCTAAGCCAGCTACACCTGTTAGTGAGCTGGGCCATCCTTCCTCTAAGCCAGGTGCACCTGTTGGTGGGCTGGGCCGTCCTACATCTAACTCGAGGGTACCTGTCCTTAGGGCTGACTGTTAGTCTCCTGGTGTGGGCAGAAGCCGAGTCTTTCAGACCCTGGGAAGTGAGTCTGTCACCTCCTCTCCTGTTCCCTGAGCCTCCCTGGCCTCCTGCTTGTCCCTGGTGTTGAGTACCAGCCCCTCTGGGCCTCACTTGCCCTGGGCCATCTTACTCCTGCCTCCACTCTCTTACCCGGCAGCCCCAGGCTTTGCTGTTACTTCTTAATGGGACCCGTCTCTGATTTCTGTGCAGTAACTGCGTTTTATACCCACACTGTGATTTGACATCAGTTTGGGAGACTCTGGACTGTGTCTGTCTCCCCAGCTAACCGGGGCGCTCCGTGAGATCAGGGAGTGTGTGTGCTTACGCTGCCGTGAGACCCCCAGCCCCAGCACAGTGCCTGCTGCAGTGACTGTTCAGCAGGCACCCGAAACCCGGGCCGTGCTCCGTGCCCTCCCCCCGGAAAGAGGACCACCCGTGTCCATCAGGCCCGCGACGGGATCGGGATGGGAGTCAGTTTCTGGGGCCAGAGAGCTGTGAGCCAGCCCCTCGGGAGGCCGTTCCCTTTCCAGGTCCCTTCTAAGGTGCTCCACAGGCCGTTTATTTATTATTCTGCTTCTAAAATTTCCTGCAAAACCGAGCTTCTGTGATTCTGGGAGGCTTTCTTTCCCCGCGCCCCCAACGTCTCCACCCAGCGCCCAGCGCATTGCAAGAAACGCGCCTCGTCTCACCCACGGGTATTTCCATCCGCACTCCCTTGACTGCCTCTCCAGACCTCTTCCTCTGCCTGTCCTCGCTTTCCAATGCTGCTGACTCCGTCCCTTCCCCCCGGAGCGCAGACGGAGCGGGGCCGGCCGCGCTCGCCGGGCTGCCGCCATTCCTGGTCACTGCAGCCTGGTCGGCCCTTCATGACTGGCTCCCAGTTTAATAATGCCTTTTATTTAACCAGTGGGCCTTCCTGTGTGAGCGTTCAGGCTGCACGACTGGAAGAGCACATGTATTTTTGGCAAGATGGTTTTCTGGGGCTATGGGCCGTGTCCTCTGCTCTTGGCTCGTGGCTTTGGAAGCCGTGTTGTCTTTTCTGCAGAGACTGCGAGTTAGCGTTTCACGGCCTGTCCCTTCCGCCCGTGGGCACAGAGCGGCAGCGTGATTCAGGGATGTCGGCTGTGCTGCTCCAGGTGGGGCGGGGGCCGACTGGGTTTTCCTACTTCAGAATCCGGGGCCGGGATTGTGCAGGAATCTGGGGACGGCACCAGAGGCTTCTGCCACTGTGGTTGCATTGATGATTTCTGTTCCCAACACGACGGAGGCCACTGGACTCAGCTGCCAGCGCTCGCTTGTCAGAAAAGCGGGCTGTGCGCCTGGTACGCTTCCGTAACCACGTTCTCACCGGGTGTACTTCAGGGTAACAGCTCTGGCAGACTGTGCTTTTCCCACCCCCTCCCATCCCATGGTTTCCTAAACACCAGCTCTGCACTCCCCCTCCCCGATGCCAGGGCTGGGAGGGGTGGGGTCCACTCCCGCCTGCCGGAGTCTGCTGCATTAGTGACATCGTGCACCATCGGACGCAGCAGCCGGCGAGTTCGGCTCCCTGAGACTGAGTCAAGAGGAGCCCTGCAACTTGTGTCCAGCTCCCTTGCAAGGCTTGGCCTTGGCAGCCGGCTGCCGCGCAAGGAGTTCAAGGACCTCGCAGCTGTCGTGCTGAAAGGACAGGGTGGGAGCCGGGTCCACAGTCCAGGGTAGGCCCCGTCTTCCGGAGCCAGACCTGTGAGTGAGGCCACCATGGACGCCCAGCTGAGCACCCCTCTGTGACCTCAGCTGGTGCCGCAGAAAGCCGAAACCCTCCAGGCCAAGCCCTGTCCCAACTCCGTCCCCGCAAGATCAGGAAGCGTTAAGTTGTGGGGTAGTTGGTTACCCTCCAACGACGACCAGAATGGGGAGGTAAGAAAGCAGCCAGGATCTGGTAAGAATTCCAGTGGGAGGTGTGGGCTGCTGGAGAACAAACCCAGAGCGCGCAACCCTCAGAGAGGCCGGGGCACCCGTCATGCCGGCGTCCCTGCAGCTGTGCCGTGCCCCACCTGCACAGACGTGTGTGGTGGCTGAGGGTAGCAGGTGCCAGGGAGGCTGTACCAAGAGGGGGGTGGAGCTGGGAATGGAAGCAGGCTGCAGAGAGAGGTAGGAATGGCACTCAGGCAAGGGGGCCCGTGACTCGCTCGGCTCTGGGTGGTGGGGGAGGGGCTGGCGATGCACCTGCAGGGCAGGGCCATGTGCAAATCTTGTTTGTGTATGACGCTGAGGAGTCAGGAGGGAAGAGGCATCCAGGAGACAGGTTTTATTTCCTTTTCTTAAAGGTTTCGTTTTATTTATTTGAAAGGCAGAGTTACAGCGAGACAGGTAGAGACAGATCCAGACCTTCCATCTGCTGGTTCCTCCCCAAATGGCCACAATGGCCAGGCTGAAGCCAGGAGCCTCATCCGGGTGTCCATGTGGGTAGCAGGGGCCCAAGCACTTAGGCCACCTTCTGCTGCTTTCCCAGCTGCAATGGCAGGGACCTGGATCGGAACTGTTGCACATGGGGTGTCGGCCTCTCAGGAGGCGGTGGCTGAATTCGCTACGCCACGACTCAGGCCCTGACCCAGGATTTTAAAGCAGGGCAGTGACAAAGGTGAAACAATAGGGGAAAACTGCAGTCAGACCCTGTGGGCTGTGAGACACGGTTTGCTCTTCCGGCACCTGCCTCTCCTGAATCTTGGCAGGTCGGGGAACCACTCAGTGAGTCATCTCAAGGCACCTTACAGGAGAATCGGGCACGTCGCAGCCTGCCTCCTCTAACTGCTCACTTATTATTGTGGGGGTGAGATAAGGGCTCTGTGTTACTTTTCTAAATAGTGTGAAATATTTATTGGTAAATAGAGCAGTGCATAATTAATGCAGTGGAGAGCTGGTGGAGCGTCCTTTCTCCACTGAAGCCACAGTGTCACGCCGGCCGCCCTGGCTGGGGGCCGGGGGCCTGAGGAACTCTTGGTCTCTGCGGACGCAGGCCCTCGGCTGGCTGCCTGCAGCCCTCCTGCCGTCTATTTCTTCTATATTTTAAGACCCGCGTGCCTGGGGAGAGAACACTTGGAGGTATAAAATTTTCATCTTTCTCCGTCGCGTCTGAATTCCGTAACCAACTCCCCAGCCACAAGTGGCTCTGGGTGGAGGTAGCTCTGATGTTCTTGCTGCACTTGCCTGAGCGCCCAGCTGCTTGCACACAGTCGATTTGCTGCCGAGTGGTATCAGCTGGCCCCGGGTCAGGCCTTCACACAACAGAGTTGTTTCTGCTTTTAGCTCGTGCTCTTTCTCTTAACCCCGGAGGGAAACCTTTGCAGAATCCGATCTCTGCTCAGCCTCGCCTCTAAGAGAAGATGGAGGAGGGGCCCCTGACGCTTCCTAGGCTGGGGCGTCCAGGAGCGCTGCCCGCCCGCCCGTCCTGGAAGCAAGCAGGGTTTTCCCTGGAGGCAGCGACAGGAGTGGCTGCTGTGTGTGCAGCCTGCAGTGCCAGCCACAGGCCCGAGAGATCCAGCGGTGGGGTTTAGTGCCCGGCACGTGCCCAGCTCTGTGGCCCTGCCGGCAGCTACGACGGAAGTGTGTGTGTGTGTGTGTGTGTGTGTATGTGTGAGGGGGGAGGGGGAGGGAGAGACGAGTGTGCGTGGAGGCCAATGAGGCAGGAAGCTCCTAGCCCGTGGCGTGGATTCAGTAGCCTGCATGCATGCCCTGCTAGACCCCAGGAGCAGGCATGCGGGGAGAGGCCAGACCCGCCTCCTGCCCGCAGGGACGGCGCCCGCCCCTCGCCATCCGTCCTCCCCTCCGTGCTAAACTGGAGGCAGCTTCACCCCATCGGCCCGGCTTCTCAGATTCACCTCTCAGGGCCAGGCTGGATCCCTCTGCCCAGCCCCTCCCACCTGGTCCCACCTGCCTGCCAGCCCCGCCCCAGCCAGACAGGGCCCCCGGTTTGTGCTGTGGGTGTGGGCGTCCCTGGTAACCAGATCCTTTCCACTGGGATGATGAGGTGGGACCTAACGTCTCTCCAGCCAGTTTCTTTTTGTGAAATATTTTTGTTAACATGAAGGAGCAGATTTCACGTATTCCAAAGATAGAAATCTGAGAACACAGGATGCTTCCTCCCTCTGTGCCTCCTCCTTCCTTTCTTTTCGTTTTTGCGATGTTATCCTTCAAATTTACCGTATAATCACAGGCTCAATACTCCACTAACTGTAGTGCTCAACCAGTGAAAGGGAGAAGAGCACTGTTCCAGAAGGGTGCAGCCAAGGGCTGTGAATGATCACGTCATAAGATGTTGATACCGCTGGTAAACCTCAGCGGTTTGTTTTTGGTACTGCATACATTAGTGATCCAAAATCAGGGGAAACATGTGATATTGGTATTTGGGGTCCGGTTTATTTCTCTAAGCTGATGATCTCTGTTGTGTCCATTCTATTGCACAAGAAAGGATTCGATTCTTTCTTTATAGCTGTGTGGTATTCCGTAGTGTATACATCCACATATTCTTTCTTTTTAAAAAGATTTATTTATTTATTTGAAAGGCAGAGTTACAGAAGAGCAGAGAGAGAGAGAGAGAGAGAGAGAGAGAAGTCTTCCATCCACTGGTTCAGTCCCCAAATGGCTGCAACAGCTGGAGCTGTGTCGATCTGAAGCCAGGAGCTTCTTTCGAGTCTCCCAAGCATTTAAGACATCTTCCACTGTTTTCCCAGGCCATAGCGGAGAGCTGGATCAGAAGTGGAGCAGACGGGATTCAAACTGGAGCCCATATGGGATTCTGGCACTGTAGGCGGCAGCTTTACCCACTACACCACAGAGCCAGCCCCACCACATGTTCTTTACCCAGTCTCAGTTGAGGACATCTGGGTTGATTCCGTATCTTTGCTGTGGTGAACTGAGCTGCAATAAACATGGGGGTGCAGATAACTCTTTCAAATGCAATTTCATTTCTGTGGGTGGATTTCCAGGAGGGGGTGGCTGGGTCATATGCAGATCTATTTTCTGATTTCTGAGGAATGTTCATACTGTCGGCCATAGTGTTCGCATGAGTTTACAGCCCCCCAACAGTATTTTAGGGTGCTTTCCCCCTACATCCTCGCCAGCATTTGCTAGTTTTTGATTTGGGATGACAGCCATTCTAACTGGGGTGAGGAGAAATTCTGTGGTTTTTATTTGCATTTGCCTGATGGCTAGTGATCCTGAGAATTTTTTCATGTGTCTGTTGGCCATTTGAATTTCATGCTTTGAAAAACACCTGCTCATGTCCTTAGCCAGTTTCGTAACTGGATCACTTATTTTGTTGTTCAGTCTCTTGAGTTCGTTACACATCCTGGACTTTAGTCTTGTGTCAGCTGTGCGGTTTGCAGCTATTCTCTCCCGTTCTGCAGCTTGCCGCTGCACTTGGCTGAGTGTTTCCTTTGCAGTGTAGAAGCTTATTGTATCATTTTTGCTTTTATATCTTGCTTTGGGGGACTTAATAAGAAGTCTTTGCCTATGCCATGTCTTGCCGTGTCTGCCCTGTGTTTTTCTCTAGTAATTTGAAGGTTTCAGCACGTAGGTTTAGATCCTTGATCCACTGTGCGTTGATTTTTATAAGGTATGAAGGAGAGATCTTGTTTCACACTTCTGCAGATGGAGATACAATTTTCCCAGCACTGTTTGTTGAAGAGACTGTCCTTTCTCCAGGAAGTGAATTTAGCTCACTTGTCAAAGATTACTTTGTTGTAGATGCGTGGATGAATTTCTGGGGTTTCTGTGTTGTGTTGGTCTACTTGTCTATTTTGTACAAGTACCAGGCTGTTTTGATTATACTGCAAACAGGGAGAATTTGACGTCCTCCTTTCCAATTTGTATCCCTTTGATTTCATTTCTTGCCTAATGGCTCTGCTAAAACTTCTAGAACTGTGTTGAATAGTAACGGTGACAGTGGACATCCTGCCCTTTGATATGTCATAAAATCTGAAATTGTGATGCCCCCAGCTTTGTTTTTGTCCTTTGGGGTCTCTCGTGTTTCCGTGTGAACTTTAGCTTCATTTTCCCAGAGCTGAGAGGAATGTCATCGGTGTCCACTGGGATTTTGTGCTGGATCTGTGAAGTGCTTTCATGGTGTGGATGCTTTGATGATGCCAATTCTTCCATGAATGTGGAAGATTTTTTTCAATTTTTTTTCCATTTCTTCCCTTAATCATTTGTAATTTTCACTATAGAGCTCTTTCATCTCCTTGGTTAATCCAAGTTTTAAAATTTTTTTATTAGCTATTGTGAATGGGACTAACCTTACAAGTTCTTCTTCATCCATGGTATTGCTTGTACATATGAAACTATTATCTTTTTTAAAAAGATTTATTTTGTTTATTTGAAAGACAGAGTTACAGAGAGAGGTAGAGACAGAGAGAGAGGTCTTCCATCTGCTGGTTCACTCCCCAGATGGCCACAAGGGCTGGAGCTATGCTGATCTGAAGCCAGGAGCCAGGAGCTTCCTCCGGGTCTCCCAAGCACTTGGGACATCTTCTATTGCTATCCCAGGCCATAGCAGAGAGCTGGGTCTGAAGAGGAGCAGCCAGGACTTGAGCTGGCACCCATATGGGATGCTGGTGCTTCAGGCCATGGCTTTAACCCACTGCGCCACAGTGTCAGCCCCGGCTATAATCTTCTCTGTGCTGATTCTATATCCTACAACTTCACCAAACTCTCTTATGAGTTCCGATAGTTTCTTAGTGGAGTCTTCTGTTTCCCCTATATACAGAATCCTGTCATTGGCAAACAGGGAGAATTTGACGTCCTCCTTTCCAATTTGTATCCCTTTGATTTCATTTCTTGCCTAATGGCTCTGCTAAAATGTCTAGAACTGTGTTGAATAGTAACGGTGACAGTGGACGTCCTCGTCTGGTTCTGGATCTCAGTGCAAGTGCTTTCGGCTTTTCCCTATTCGATACGATCCTGGCCGTGGGTTTGTCATATGTTGCCTGGATTGTGTTGACAACTGTCCTTTCTATGCCCAATTTGCTTAAGGATTTTTATCATGAAAGGATGCTGTATTTTACCCAATGCTTTCTCTGCATCCTTGGAGATAATCACAGGGTTTTATTATTCAGGTTGTTAATGTGATGTGTCATGTTGCTGACTTGTAAATGTTCCACCATCCCTGCACCCCTGGGATAAGTCCCACTTGGCCTGGTGGATGCCCTTTTGGACGTGTTGTTGTGTTTGTTGGGCTAGTATTTGGGGAGGGTTTTTGCGCCTCTGTTCGTCAGGGATGTTGGTTGATACTTCTCGTTCTTCACTGTATCTTTTTCTCGTTTCCAGCTTCCACCCTGTTAGTTTTGCTCTTTCCTCTCTCTCTCTCATCTCCCACTTCCTCTCTCCTCATTAATGCTTTCTAAAGGTCACACCACACAGCCTCACAAGGGCCTTTCTCCCCCCTCTTCACAGGAAGGCAGGTGTGCCGGCGTCCGTCCAGCCGCACACACTCAGGGAGACCATGCTGGGACTCTGCTCTCTTCTGGGAGCCGTTTCAGGCTGGGGTCCTTCAACATCCCCAGAGTGACCGATTGGCTTGGTCCTAAGGTGGGGAAGGCACCAGCCCTGTGGGCAGGGGTCTGTGGCACTGCTGGAGGGATTCGGAGAACGGCACCTTCCAGTGACACTCAGTGTGACGGTGAAGGGGGCATCAGCAAAGCCAAGGCTGAGAGTGCCCTTGTCAGGCCCCAGTGCCCAGTGGAGATGGAGCCAGGGTGGTTCCCCAGGTGAGCGTCAAGTGTCAAGGGTCCTCAGACAGCTCATCCCACCCAGGAGTCCAAGAGTTCAACTTTGATTTTTTGTCTAGCAGGATTTTTTGGCATCACTTTTGATCTGTAAAAATACAGCATTAAGGTGTGACCTATGGTTATGCATGTGTGTGGCACCCCCTTCAATTCTGTGCTGAGACGTGGCCCCATCTGGGTCTGATGGAGGACTCCCTGGAGGAGGGTATAAGACCAGGGCTGAGGCAGCCTGGGCCCCACTGTGTCCTGCTCGTGGTGCTGGTCTGCACGGCTCCCCTGGAGCTGTGTTTGGTTGGGTTTGTGTCTGCTCATCAGATATTTCCTGTGTACCCCATGGTCAGCCGCCAAGAATAAGACACAAGACTTGGTCCTCCTCTAAAGATTTTAATCTCTAGTGAGGAGCAGGAGCAAGATGGCAGTTGGTTCCCATACCACATGGTGAGTGCCCTGCGGAGAGCAGGGGCCCCACACCACGCTGTGGGGAATTTCAGTTGAAGGCTGAGCTGGCACTGCGTGCTGTGGGCAGAGGAAGTAGAAGGTCAAAGCTGCCGAGTGGGAAACGGCGTGGCCTGGGTGGGAGACTGACGCTCCTTGTTTCTAGCACATTTATTTAGGGCGAGGGTGTTGAATGATGATGTTGGGGCATACGTGAGACAAGACCACGAGAAATTCGGAAACCTACGTATCCCAAGTATGATGGGGAGTGACAGGTCCACGGAGCAGAGGAGGGCGTGAGTCCCACTGATGGGCAGATGAGGCAAAGCCGGTCTTACAAGGCAAAGGCCGCAGCCTGATTTCTGGGAGCCTGGAGTGGCCTCTGCTGTGTGGACGCCCCTGGGGACCCAGCAGTCCTTCTTCCCTTGAGCTCCGTGTCCCCTTCTGCCTCTCAGAGAGGGGCACGTCCTGTACCACACCCTGCAGCGCTACAGCAACGATTCGGTCTGAACTCGGTGCCTCCCAGGAAAGCGAGGCTGCCTGCTGGGGAAGCCTTTGCCTAGAACACTGGGCGTTTCTGTTTCTCCCCTTCCCTGCCCACAGCCGGCTCCTCCCCAGCCCCCAGGGGCCTGCTCCCATGTCAGACACTGGGGCAAAGTCCTTCACTCTTGCTGCTGATGCCATTACAAGGGCGAGCCCTGGCGACGAAGGCTGGGTGCCCACCCCAACGCCGTCAGTGGCCCCCCTCGCCCGCCCTCTCTAGCACGCTCTCACGGGAAGGCGCCCTGCCCACCACGCGTCCCTGGGTTACTTCTCAGGACACTGCCTGCGTTCTCTCTGCAGAGCTCCTGCGACAGGGAGTCCGTGCTGACCATCCTGAGGGTCCTGGCAGATCTGCTCTCTGTCGGTGAGTAGGCCATGCCCCGCCCTTCATCTCGTGACTGGGGGAGGCATGTGAGTGGGCCACGTGGCTGCGGTCTGTGCAGGTGTCTGGGTGGCCTGGGGCTTGCCCTGTTCAAGCTTCCTATGAGAGACAGAGTCGCCAGCACTTTTCCTGTTTGAGTTAATAAAACCTCTAACATGGGAATTTCTGAATCTGGGACCTTCAGTCTTGTCTCCCTGGGGGGACCAAAGCATGGGTGGACACTGAACTCTGGGTGGGTGCTTTAGTTTCCTATCTATGAGGCCAGGGTCCTTGGAGGCTGTGTCCACCTCTGACCCCCTGGGAAAAGCTACCCCTCAGTGGTTTGACCCTCACCTCCCCCTCCTTCCATCCCTGGTTCCAAGGAGAGATCCAGGCCTTGGAATCCCTTACATGTGTCCAGTGGACACAGGGATGCGAGGCAGGAGCTGGACCGGAAGTGCCGTGAGGCTTCTGGTTTGCAGAGCTCAGCTGAGAGTTGCCCACATCAGAGTCAGCGGAGTCAGCCGAGCACAGCTCCAGGAGCTCCGAGCCCACCCAGGTTCCGGAATCTGCTACAATCCATGTACAATTCCACGGAGGTGGCTCTGTTGCTACAGGAAAAACCATTAACAGCCAACAGGCAATACCAAAGGGAACACCTGGCTGAAGCTTGGGCACAGATTCGGTCGAGGGTCCCACCACAGGCGTCTTCCTGCTGGTGTGCTGCGCTAGGCTGGCTCCCTCCATGCAGCCCGCTGGGGGCGTCCCCTGTGTGGGAGAAGCCACCAGTGCTTTGGGATGGTTCTGACTCGTCTGTCCAGAGGACCTCTTGTGTTCTCCCTGTGATGCGGGTGGGGCTGCCTGCCTTCCCTAAGGAAAACCTACGTTGCCTGCCATCTCCCGCTGTGGGGCCCCTGGGTTGGGCCAAGCATTCCCTCTGCAGAGATCAGCAAGGGCCTGCTCCAAGCTTTGGAACTTGTCCTCAGACAAGGTGGCGAGGCCCCTGTTCCAGACTGTTCTTTTCTTTTATAGGAATACAAATTTCATAAGTACAACTTTAGGAATATAGTGATTCTTCCCTCCATACCCACCCTCCCTCTCACACTCCTACCCCTCCTCCTCCCTCTTGCCTTGCCAGTCCCATCCTCCATTAAGATTCATTTTCAGTTAACTTTGTACACAGAAGACCAACTCCATACTAAGTGAAGATTTCAACAATTTGCACTCACACACACACACACACAAAACTGTTTGAGTTAATTCTCATAATACAACTCACTAAGGGCAGAGGTCCTCCATGGGCAGTTAGTGCACAGTGACTCCTCTTGTGAATTTAACAATTAACACTCTTATGTATGACATCAGTGACCACCCGGGGCTCTTGACATGAGCTGCCAAGACCATGGAAGCATTTTGAATCCACAATCTCTGTCAGTATTTGGGCAAGACCATATGCAAAGTGGAAGTTCTCTCGTCCCTTTATTATTTTTTTTTTTGACAGGCAGAGTGGACAGTGAGAGAGAGAGGCAGAGAGAAAGGTCTTCCTTTGCTGTTGGTTCACCCTCCAATGGCCACCGCGGCCAGCGTGCTGCGGCCAGCGCACCGCGCTGATCCGGTGGCAGGAGCCAGGTACCTATCCTGGTCTCCCATGGGGTGCAGGGACCAAGGACTTGGGCCATCCTCCACTGCACTCCCGGGCCACAGCAGAGAGCTGGCCTGAAAGAGGGGCAACTGGGACAGAATCCGGCTCCCCGACCGGGACTAGAACCTGGTGTGCCGGCACCGCAATGTGGAGGATTAGCCTATTGAGCCGCGGCACTGGCCCTCTCCTCCCTTTAGAGAAAAGTACCTCCTTTGATGATTCCTTCTTTCCACTGGGTCTCACAGAGATCCTTCATGTAGAACATTTTTTTGCACAGTATCTTGGCTTTCCATGCCTGAAATGCTCTCATGGGCTTTTCAGCCAGATCAGGAAATCTTAAGGGATGAATCTGAGGTCAGAGTGTTACTTAAAGTGATTGTCATTCTATGAGTCTGCTGTGTGGACTGTTTCCCATGTTGGGACATTCTCTCCTTTTTAATTCCATTATTATTACCAGGCACTTGAGCCTATGTATATGGTCACTTTAACACTCAATCCTATCTATATGTTGTTCACTTTAACACTTAATATGATCACTTTAACAATTAAAATGGCATTTTTACCACCAAGCTTAATGGAATTTGGAGTCTTATAATAAGTTTTTAAATTGAAGTAAGTCTGTAGGAATGTATGCAGAACTATACAGCTTTACAGTTACAAACTTCTTCCTCTCTCTTATCCCCACTGTTATTTTTTACTGTGATCTATTTTTAATTAACTGTACACATATGATTAACTCTGTGTTAAGTAAGGAGTTCAACAAAGTAGTTCTTCAGCAGAGAGACCAACACTTCATCCCAGCTCCAGGTGCTCCTCAAAGTTCCCTACACAGGACGCCTGTCTCTTAGGGGACTGCCCCAGTGGTTTCCATGTTTTCTTTCCATCAGTAACTGAAGGCAGTGTTGGGAAATCATTATCATAAGATAATGTCTTCATCCAAATCCCTGTTTCAGACTATTCAAACATGTAGTGCAGGGAATAATGAAAACCCCTCTTCTGTTAATATGACGAAATGTTTAAGGCTGCATGCTTAGTTACACACACACACACAGCACATGGAGACTCGGCAGTCCTCAGGAAGTGGATCCCAGGCTCCATTTGTCACAGCCTCTGCAGGAGTCCAGCGAGGACCTTACGTACCCGTGTTTCCCTGTTTCACACACTTTTCCCTGCAGCTCTGCACACAGGTTGCTTCAGGAGCTGCACAGTTCCGTCTCTGGGATGAAACAAGTGAACGCTCGCTCTGCCCTTAGCCGTAGTGTGCCTTCTGCTCCCGGCAAAGTCACAGTGACCCCTGTGCTGATCTCCCCTCCCCTCCCCCTAGGCACAGACCGCAGGATCCACTACCTGATCAGCAAGGGTGGCAGTGAAGCCCTTCTGCGGACCCTGGTGGACACGGCGAGGACCGACCCCCCCGACTACGAAGTCCTCCTGCCTCTCTTCCGGCTGCTGGCCAGAGTCGGCCTGAGAGGTACCCACAGCCCAGGAGCCACAGATGGCCGGAGGGCACTTCTGGAGATGTTAGCCCAAGAGCCGTGGGGATCCAGGGGGAGCGCAGGGGGGTCCCACACACCTCGGTGGGGAGGACCCTCCCGGAATTGGAGGTCACTTTTTGACTTGAATGTCAGATAATCCAAAGTCTGGTGCTGAGGGTGGAGGGGCAGGCACAGGCTATCTTGGTCCCCCGGTGGGAGGCACGGGAGGTACCCCAAATGCAGCTGGTGACCATGCAACGAACAGGCGGAGCGCTGCTGCCTGCACGTGGGAGTCCGTGAGCGAGGTTTGCTTCCCAGAGCTGCCTAGCACGTTTCCCCAAGCCGGCGGCTCAGCACCCAAGAAGCCCACACCTGTCAGTTCTGGAGGCCGGGAGTCCAAAGCCCAGTGTTGGCAGGGTTGCTCCCTCCTGGTCGCTCTGCAGGAGAACCTGTCCCAGGCAGGGTTGTTCCCTCCTGGTCGCTCTGCAGGAGAACCTGTCCCAGGCCCCTCGGGGCTCCCGGCGGCTCCCGGCAGGCCTTGGCATTCACTGGCTTGCACACTCAGCTCGCCCATCTCTGCCTCCACCTTCCTGTGACCTGCTCCTCTGTGTCTCTGTGTGCCCTCTCCTCCTGGCGTAGGGCAGCAGTGGTTAGTGTCGCCCTGCTTTAATCTCTGTGACCTCAAAAACCCTTTCCCAATATAGCACAGTGCTCTGAGGTGCTGGGTGGCCGTGAATTTCAGGGACGCAGGAGAGTGGAGCTTCCCCAGGTGGAGGGAGGACGGGAGCCCGGAGCCCCCACTGACACTCGTGTTCATTCCTTCCCCACGGGGCCCCTTGAGCACCTCCCCTCAGGCCTAGGCCTTCCTGACGTGGGGTTTGTAAATCCGGCACTCGAGGTTCGTCGAAGTCATCACAGGAGTTGGGATTATGTGAGTCACAACCGAGCAGTGGGATCTCTCTGAGAAGTGGACTTTTTTTAAAAAAAGACTTATTTATTTGAAAGAGCTACACAGAGAGAGAAGGAGAGGCAGAGAGATGGGGGGGGGGGCGGTCTTCCATCTGCTGGTTCACTCCCCAGTTGGCTGCAACGACTGGAGCTGCACCAATCTGAAGCCAGGAGCCAGGAGCTTCCTCAAGGTCTCCCATGTGGGTGCAGGGGCCCAAGGACTTGGGCCATCCTCTACTGCTTTCTCAGGCCATAGCAGAGAGCTGGATCAGAAGTGGAGCAGCTGGGTCTTGAACCGGCGCCCATATGGGATGCAGGCACTTCAGGAAAGGCCTTAATCCACTGCACCACAGTGCCGGCCTGAGAGTTGGACTTTTGATGTCCAGTGCTAGCAGCTGCAGCCGAGGGCCTGGGGTCTCTACTTTGTGTCCATTCCGTCATCCATGGATAATACCTGAGAACCTGCTGCCGGCCAGCACCAGTGTGGACACGTCCCAGACAAGAGCAGTAAACTCATTCGGTGCTTGCTATGTGTCTCCCAGGACCAGGCACTCTTCTGGGTCCCTGGAACACCCAGAGGAGCAATAAAGTCAAGCGGCTTGCTCTCACAGGGCGTCATTCCAAGGACAAGGCTGCCTCGTCCACAGGTGATAGCTGGCTGGGAGCAGACCACGGTGGGTGTGTAAGGAAGACGAATAGTGACGCTACCTTGACACGCATGGGCAGGGAGAGGTGACATCGGCTGAAATGTGAAGAACAAGAGGAAGTCAGCAAAGAGTGAGTCAGCAGAACCCCAGGAAGAGGCCAAGCGCCTGCAGGGAATCGCAGTCAAGTTGGGCAGCCAGTCTGGCCCTGATGTGCGTGAGCTGATGGCCTGTGGAGCAGGTGCTCAGCCTTTGTGAGCCATCACGCCCCATGCATCACCTGCCGGCAGCGGCCTTGCTCTGGAGTCTCTGTGAGGATGAGGCGAAGTTCTGCAAGTCACAGGCGTGGAGAGCGGGCCAGGGCCTGGCAACAAGGTCACGCAAGCCACCCGAGAGAAGGAGACGGGAGAGACAGCAAGACTGTGGCCTCCAGGCTACTGCCTTGGCATCACCACTGTAACATCGCGTGTCCTGTACTACTGTGATGCTGGGTACCTCGCACGGTGGTGATGTCATCTTCTTTTCTACCACCAAGACCTTGACCTTACCACCCAAGTAGCCATGGGGTGACCTGAACGCAGCACAAATGGCGTGGGCTGCTCCTGAGTGGGGTGGGCTGGAGACTTATTGTCTACTTATTTCTATGTATTTATCCATGTTGCTTTGGAAGGCAGAGAGACACACAGAAAGATGGATATTCCATCTGCTGGTTTATGACCCAAATGCCCACAGCAGCCAGGGCAGAAGCCAGGTCTCAGGAATTCAATCCAGGTCTCCCCCAGGGATGGCAGGGACCCTACGACTTGAGCCTCCCAGGGTGACGTCAGCTGGGACGTGAACGCAGGCCCTTGCGTGTGCTCTTGCGTGTAGGGTGTGGCGTCTCACGCGGGGTCTTAACTGCTGTGCTGCACGCCAGCCCTGCTGTTTCTTTTCCAACGGAGGGGCCGGGTCAGGAGGGCGGGGTCACAGTCTCCTTGCTGGTGTCCGTCGGGAGCCACTTGGGATCCCGTGTGCTGTGACTCATTTCCACCTGCAGTGTATCTGCGTGTCCCTGCCAAGGCCAGCGCGGTGACTCAGGCCTCCTGTTTCGGAAAGGGCACGGCAGATGTGACTGGCAGCACACTCACCTGCCATCAAAGCAGGAGGAGGGAACACAGAACAGCAAGTTTTTTTTTTCTTGTTTCTTAATATTTATTTCTGGCTGTTAAAAATAATGACGGGGGCTGGTGCTGTGGTCTAGAGGATAAATCCACCGCCTGTGGCTCTGGCATCCCATATGGGTGCTGGTTCGAGTCCCGGCTGCTCCACTTCCAATCTGCCTCCCTGCTAACGGCCTGGAGAAGCAGTAGAAGGTGGTGCAAGTGACTGGGCCCCTGCACCCTCCCGGCAGACCTGGAAGAATTTCCTGGCTTCTGGCTGTGGCCTGGGCAGTCCCGGCTGCGGTGGCCATCTGGGGAGTGAATGGAAAATCTCTCTCTCTCCCTGTCTCTCTCTGAGGCTCTGACTTTCAAATAAGTAAATAAATCTTAAAAAAAAAAAAAAAGGGTGTACCTGCAACACTGGAGGTCAAGTTATTTGGAGCAATGATTTAGAGGTATTTCAGGGCAAATTTTTCTTTTCATTTTTGCTTTTCATTATGAAAGTTCTCCACCACCTAGAAAGACGACCTCCCATCTACCTAGACTACAACTCTTACTGCTGCTTTGACGTGTTTCCCTCACTCGTTTCTTTTTATTTGAAGCATTTTCAGGAGAATTACAGAGGACTTTTGCTCTTAGATCCTATTTTTAGGCATGTATTTGAAAAGAGACGTTTTCCCACATCACCGCAGTGCCACTATGCACCGTTTTTGTCACTGACACAATCCACGAGACAAGCTACCTAGGAGGACCTGGGTTCCAGTTTGAGGTTGGAAGTCCAGGTTCCTGGCGCAGGCAGGTGGGGGAGGGGCGGGCGTGCAGAGGGAGAAGTCCTTGAGCCTCGCTGTGGTCTGTGCAGCCCAGGTTATGATTTGCCCGGTTATGAAGGGGACGGAGCTTGCAGCTTTTTTTTTTTTAACTGGGTGTGAAAGCTCCTTGGTGAGCGCCTGCCCCTCACTCCGTCACCCTCCCCTCCCCTTCCCCATGCCTTGTGCAACTGTAGAATCGATACGAATGCAACTAAGGGAGATTTATTTGTTTTCCTAGACAAAACAATTGGGCAGAAGGCACTGGAACTGGAAGCACTTGACGTGACGCTGATTCTGGCCAGGAAAAGCCTGTCCCACAGCCAGCGCCTCCTGCACTGTCTCTGGGCACTGCGCGTGTTTGCCGCCCGTGGTGAGTGCTCGGCAGAGCCTTCTGGAAGGGGGGGGTGGGCGTGTGGTCCCAGCACAGGCGCAGGCTGTGGAGGTGAGAACTCGCTTGCCCGTGTCCTGCTCGGCCAGCAGAGCTCTCGGGCTTGTTTCTGGAGGGCGACTTCCCTGGGAGCACGCCAGGCCCTCTGTTCGTGCTGCAAGGCAGAGTACTTGTGGTGGGAGGAGGCCCTTGCACTCGGGCAGCGTCCGTGTGCCACATCTCTGTCCCTGCCACACGCCTGAAGCACGCGTGTATGACTGTCCTTTCCCACGTTTGTTGGAGGTGTTGATCGCGTGGGCCTCTCTGGAGCCCTGCAGGTGACGGCCCTGCTCCACAGCATGAGGTGCCCGTGCCGTTGCCATCCTGGTTGGCTGGTTTCTAGTTGCCCTCACAATCCTGTATGTGCACTCACGATTTTACAGTTAAGGGGAAAACACAACTTAGAAGAGTGAACAACGGCTTCACTACGTGCAGGTAAAAGGTCGTGCGGGCTGAGTGTCTGGCTCCAAGACTCAAGCTAATTCTCTGTGTGGAGACATTTTAATTAATAATCTCAGTACTGGACCTCCTCTCGCACGTGTAGTGAACACAGACTTTCATTTCTCCTTCCTGAGCTCGCTTCTCGTGGGATAGAAGTGACGATTACTTAGACGTAAAACACCCTTTAGGGGAAAGAACATGGGCTTAGTGCCGGGAAGACCTGAGTCTCACGGATCCTGTTTCTTATGAGTCATGGAACGTGGGCACCTGACCCGACTGACCCGAGTTTCCTCTGTAAAATTATAGAGGCAATAATTATCACCACTGGCCAGCTCAGGCCGCGGTGTCAAAACCCAGCCTGGTGGTCGGGCCACAGAAAGTCCCTTCGTCGCCACTCTGGGAGCTGGGAGTCCTGGAGCAAAGTGCTAGCAGGGTCGGCTCTTCGGGGCCCGCCTTGGCGTCTCTGTGGCGTCTTCTCCTGTGTGTCCCTGGGCCTTTCTCTCTGCACAGTTTTCTCCTTGTAAGCGCAGAAGTCAGAAGAGATCAGGGCTCAGTCTAACTGAACTCAATCACTTCTTTAGGTACCGGGATCGGGGCTTCACTCTGGGTCTGGGGGACGTAGCTCGTGACAGAGCCCACAGACTTGGCACAGGACGTGAGCCAATGGCCACAGGTGTGCTTGTCACACGTCGCGTTCCCCTCTCTATTCCTTCCCCGTTGTCTTTTGAAATAGCAAGAAGAGTACAAATAGGGGGAGTAAGTAGGTGGCTTCTCCCCAGTTGTTCTGAGAACTACAAAAATAACCCGATTTTCATTAGAGAATTCTACTAACGAGCGTGGAGGGCCCATAGAGAGAGAGAGGCTTTCTGGGAAAAATGGGATAGATTCTCGGCCGCGTGTTCTCCAATGGCGCTCCCTCTCCCATGTCCCAGGCACACTGGCCAGAAAGCAGAGCACTTGGGAGACACTCAACGGGTCTGCCAATTCGCAACCTGAGAGAGGAAGAGGCGCCTGGCGCTGCACCAAGGATACCCTGCATTAGCGCGGAGTCGGGGTGCTCCCCACGGGGAGCCCGCCAGCAGCACGGGACTTGTAATGTCTCACGGTTTCCTGAAGAATAACTTGCCCTCTCCATAATATGGGGTGACAGTGGAGACCTAGAAAACCCCTCTGGCTGGAGCTCTGAGCAAGCCTGGGATCTGCCTGGGTGTGAGGGGGTGGCCCTCCAGCTCAGACTCTAAGCCTACATTTACTGTACCAACTGACTGTTCGCTAAGATATCTTTAAAAGTCACACCACTACTCTCCAGCAGTGCCAGTCTGATGAGCGACAGGCAGAGTTCAGGAAGCCATAGGTTGATGTCTCCATTAGGCACTGTGGAAAGTTCCGGAAGCTTCCCAGTCAGCTCCCGTCTCGAGAAGGAGTCACCTGGGACTAGGATGGGTGCAGAGCAGCCAGTGGGCTCTCAGATGACCGCTGGGGATGTTTCCAGAGCTCATGGACACCCAGCCACTCTCAGGCACCCAGCGAGGCTGGCCTCCGTGAGGGCTGTGTTGGTCACCCTTTTCCAGGTCTGGGTCCAGAGTCTCTGTGTTAGCACAGCCATCCCCTCCACAACCGGACTCAGTACCATGACTTCTCGGTTTGCTTTCCTGGTCTAGAAGCAGGGACCATGAGAGCAGCGGTCAGAGCGGAGGACCGATGGGCAGGACTAGGATGCCAGATCCCCCAGTTCTGATGCGGTCAGCTAGGCCTGTGCTTCCTCAGGAGGGGCACTGGGGCAGGGGTGTCCCAGAACAGCTGTCTCTGAACAGCCGGGACAGCCTCGTCCCTGTGGTCGGCGACACCGAGATCCCACGGGGAACCACATTGAAGCCTCCGGGTTTCCGTGTAGCCGCCTCTCCCCAGCCGCTGGTGTTTCTCCCTCTGCTGCTCCACGGTCTCCTTGTTCCCAGCTACTTTTCCTGGAGCAAGGCTGCCACGAGCACAGGCGTTGCTAGCCCCAGTGCAGTGCAGGCGGGAGAAGAGGGTTCCACCCGCGAAGGTCAGCTTGCTTCCTTCTCCCCAGCGACACGGGCTCCACGCAGGGTCCTGTGGATGCCTCTCGTGGTTCCGACGTGACCAGCGCGCTTCCTAAGGCTGCCTGAGTGGAGTGGGATATCGAAGACTTGCAAAGAGGCGGGGGCATCCTTGGAAACAAGAGTGTCTCATCTGCTGACCAGATACCCCTTCAGTTTATCTCCAGATCTGTGGCTGTGTCTTTTATAGGCATCCAGCTGGGCTAAAATAGAATGAATTTCTGTCGCCAGGCTGCTTGGCCACGACAGGAGAGCTGACTCTCTTTGGCCTTCTAGTGGACACACAAGCAAGTCGCTGTCTCCACTGAGGGAGGTCCAGGCACAATCGTAGGGAAGCTGGGGCCACAGTGGAGAAGAAAGGGAGACTCTTGTTTATTGGGCTACGCTTTCAGGCTTCTAAAGCGACTTTTCGCACAATAATCCCCTGACCTCTGGAGAGGCCCCAAGCTGAGCGGAGCCATCACCCGTCTTCCCGTGACAACTGTGCTTCTGTCCTTCTCAGTGACCACGGGGGCCATGCTGGGCATCAACGGAGCCATGGAGCTGCTTCTCAAGGTCATCCCTCCTTACACCCACAGGCACTCGCGGACCATCAGGTACGGCGCACCTGCGGGGCCCTCCGTCCGCTCGGCCGCAGCGGGGTCCCGTGTAGCCACGATTCCCCCCTGGAGACGTGGACCGGTGCCCCTCCTCCCCCTGAGTCATTTCCTGAAATGCTCACGCTGACCCTGAGTGGCGGTCACTGCCTTCGTCAGATGAGGAGGCTGAGCTGCCGCGCGGGCCTCATCCCCGTCACGGTGCCGGGACGGCCGAGTTGAGATCGGCGTTCCCAGCATTGCCACCCACGCCCCCATGCTACGTTTTCTCTCGGTCTGGAGCCTTCAGATCGACCCTTTTACTCACAGAAAGTCTACCGTGGATGGGCGTTGTCCTGGAAAGAGTCTGGAACTGAGAGGGTCTCTCAGAATGGGCCAGCCCACCTTGGATCGGGGGCCGGGCTGCCGGCTCGCACGCTGGTCTTTGCCTGGCTGGGACGGGAGAGGTCTGCGCTCTGCTCTGCGTGCTGGGGTGGGGCGAATCGCGGGTTACAGAGGGAGGTGGCTGCACGGGAGGCTTTTGGGATGCTCAGGGCCATTAGGAGCCATCATTTAAGGGAGTGACTCAGCAAGGACCTTGAAAGAATATTAAAAGAAATGCAGCCACTTCCCAAGATGTATGGGGTCATTTGATAAGTGGCACTGCCGTGCCCGGCTGTGCGGTCTCTGATCCCAGCATCCCGCCCAGGCTCATGTTCCGCCTGATTATTTTCCTCTCGGGTCATCACAGTCATGCCATTATCATCCATTCTCACCTGCAGCTTTCTGCAGTGAAATAAAACCATCCCTCACCAGATACACTGGGAGTCCTGTGCTTGGGGGACTCGGATGGTTTCTTTGCAGTACGAGCTCTCACGGCCTGGAATAAGCCCAGGCGTCTTGAGGCCCCCGGGGGGCTACGCAGTGCGCCCTGCTCCCCAGCTGTGGGGGTGAGTTGTTTTTGGAGAGCACCCTTCCTGGGGTTCAGCGATCCACGGATCTCGTTTTTCGGAAACCTTTCCTGCAGAGTGCAGGTTCATTGCAAAGTGGGACCACGCCAAGCCCTGCCCGGGGACCTTCCTGTAGGAGTGGAGCCCTTCAGTGTTGCAAACTCAGGGACAAAAAGCTTCATTTTTCTGTCATTGTTCGTTGAAACTTCTATTTATTCAAGAGAACAGAAACCATCACTCAACGTCTTATCAGAGATCTAAATCGGATTAGCGACTCGGTCCACTGGGTGTTCTGAGCCCTCTCCCCTCTTCCTGGGGGGCACAGCGGGGAGGTCACGCAGAGGTGTAGCACAGCTTGTCCTGAGTCGTGTCCACTCGGGGACACGTGTCGCGTGTGTCTCGTCGTCATCGTGTGTGTGCTGGCACCTAAGCCCCAGCACGGCCTTGGCCCCAGGCTGGCAGCTCTCTCTGCCCGTGCACAGGGCTCCTTCTGCCCCGAGGCTGGCATCACCCCGCTGCTCCAGAGCTCAGAGACATCTGGTGGCCTCCCCTGACCATGTGCCGAGTCGTGGGGTGTCTGCTGGCCCCGACGGGGTGTCTCAGTCTCCTCTTTGTCCCCCGGGGCCCTGCTGCCTGCCAAGCTTCACCAGGAAGCCCTTCCTGGCTGACCCTGGGTGTCAAGGCACCGGGCCCCTGCCTTCGGGGTCCTCAGAGCTCTGTTGTCTTCCCTGGTGGGGCAGTTTTGGGGATACAGCAGCAGAGCCCAGAAGCCCTGTCCTCAGACACACGCACCAGTCGCTTTCTCCACTGCTGTCTGCTTCCTGCGAAGGGAGTCAGGTCTGCAGCTGCGGGTCTCGTGCTGGTGCCACCGGAACACGCGAAAGTAACTGGGGAGGAACGGGGTGGGTGTTCTCAGTAGCCCAAGACCCTTCCAGGGACTCGAGGCGTGTGTCTGCATCTCTGGTCTGCTCTATTAGTTTGGCCAAGACGATTTCCCTTCTTTATTCAAAGGGCAAATTAGACCCAAACCTCTAGAGAAGGGCTTCCCCTCCCGACTCACGATGGGCCATCGCCACAGTGCTGGACAGGGGCCCTCCCCGTGCCGGGCTCTGAGCCAGGGTGTTGCTTAGGGGCCCGGCTCGTGCGGGCTCTGGTGTGCTTTATCTTACTGGTGCTCGTCGTCTCCTCTGCACGGCACGTGCTGTTACTGTGCCCGTCTTCACAGGAGGACACGTTCAAACCCGAGAGGTGGAGTCACATGCTGGGGGTTCAGGGCGCGAGCTGGGATGTGATCGCGGGCTGGTAAGTGAGCTGCAGCCCTGAGCCACGGCAGGAGTCTCTCAGCCTGTTCCCGCAGCTCGCTCCTACATCCACCATATGGAAGACACTCGCAGCTGCTGAAGTTTGCTTACATCCCTTTTACTGTCTAAATGGCTCACACCCATGGAGCAGTTTGCTTAATGAGAGGGAGTCTTTCTCCTCTGCTTCCTCTCTTCCCTCCAAGTCTGCCGATCTATAGCCTCTGCTTTCGGATTCTTCCCCCAGCTACCTTGTTTCCCACCTCGCCGCTGCCTCCCAGCACCACGTTGAGAACTGGGGCCTGACCTGGGGAGCGTGCGCCGTAGCCAGTCTGGCTGACCCCTGGGCAGCTCTGGGCCGCCCAGCTTCTCTTACCTGGACTTTACGTTTTGTGAATTGTGAAGACCAAGGAGGACCAGGTCTTGCTGTGGACATGACGGAATCGTGGGCGAGAGCTCTGTGAGCTTGGCCGTGCAGTCACACTGGAGCTTGTTGGTAATTCAAGGTGGTGGGACCCCTGGCTGCCCCGGGGGACCAGGCAGGTGGCAGGGACTGGATGCAGCAGACACAGAGATGGGAGCTTTCTGCCCCTCTTCTCTCCTGCAGAGAGAACTGCAGCGCATCTAAGTGGGCCCTGCTCAACCCACTTGGATGCCGGAGCCTGCGGGCAGGCAGGGGTCCTCCAGGAAGGGTAGGTTATCCCGCCGGCGGCCACTGGGAGCCCTACAGAGTGTCCTGCGAATGCTGGCCAGCCCAGGAGTTCTCCCTGGATGCCTCTGAGGGAGTGGACGCCTGGTGCTGCCCCCTGTGCTTCCCCCTCCTGTGGGGATAAAGCCTGCCCAGTTCTCCAGCGGGGCTCTAAAATTAGATGTGCAGCTGTCCCCAGCGAGGCCCCATCTCCAGCTCGTTCTCAGGATGAGATTTATGGTGGAATCTCAAACCGTGTACCACCAGGGAGAGGGGGCGCGGAGGGCAAGGTCATAGCCCTCAGTGGCCGCGGGCCAGCCTCACACCAGGGGAGGCGGCTCTGCCAGTCCTCCTCCTCCGCCAGCCGGCCCCTGTACTGGTGCACTGCCACCGTCGCCCACGCGTGCCTGCCCCTGCCCCTGCTTCTCGGGACTGCCCGCAGTCAGGGCCGTGCGCCAGCCTTGGGCTCCTCCTGTAGCCCTCTGCTCCATCTTCTCCAATGTTGTCCCCTCTGCAGCCTGGGCTCTCATTCCTCCTCTCCTCCTCTGAGTGTGGCCGCGTGAGCCTGGCCCTGGCCTGGCCTTCCTCTTCCCCTGGCCTTGCTGCCCGTCAGACAGCGGAGTCCCGCCCAGCCCTCAGCTCGGCGGACCCGCCTGCTGCCTCTCACAGGTCGGAAGGGGCCGTCTCTGCTCCGGGCACCGCCGGGTCTTTCTTTGTGCTCTTTAAATTGCTGCGTGTACAACTCCACCTGCTCGCAGGGCTGGCCCGGGGGGCTCCTCTCCTCGCAACCCTGCAGTCCCCAGTGCGTTCCCCACGGGGCCCAGCCCAGTGCGTAGCCTGAGTGGGCTGTTCCCTACATTCTAAAGAAACACTTGCACAAGGTATTTTTGGTGAATTCCCTGCAAGGCAATCAGTAAACCAGTCGTACCAGATGGGCCTCTGGGCTGTCACTCCCCCGGGCTGAGGTTGCCCTGCATGTGGCGTTCTGGTGTCAGGACCACCCAGGGCCCCGGGGCACGGGGCTGAGGGGCCCTCTGAGGTCACTGCAGGAGGATGAGCTGCCAGGGAGCTGGGTTTGCCTGACTACAGGGAGAGGGAGGGCCGGAGCCAGTTTCTTATTTGGAGTTTTCTGGGGGAAGCCACAGAGCTGGGCAGAGAGGAAAGATCTGGGCTCGAGGGGCCAGGAGAGGCAGTGTCGGCGTGGAGACTTTGCCTTCCCTGGCGTGGGGAGTTGGGCCCATTAGTCTGGGCTGCTGGGACCTCGGAGTTCCTGGGGTGCTTTTTATAGAAACGGGGGGAGGGCTGCCGCTGGGCCAGGGTGTACTCCCCCTTGCTAGCCTGTTCCTCCACAGGCAAGCTTGTTTATCGGCACAAAAGCTATCTGAAGCTGTCCAAACTCATTAAGTAGGAAAATTTATCGAGCCAAAGACAGATGACTTGTCTGCGACTGACTCACCCTGTGACCTTAGAAGAGCTGTGTTCGCTGCTGTCCCAGCACTCTGCGAGGGGCACCCCCCTCCCTATTCCAGGAGGGCCTGCCGTGCCCTCGCCCCAGGCACAGCCGCATTCCCTCGGCCCCCGTCATCGGGGCTTGTGACCGGCGTCTCCCCAAGGACTTCAGCTCTGCCCGCTTGCCTGGCCTTGTAAACGGCAGGGTGGACTGAGACGGGCCAGGCCTTCCCAGCGCAGGCTGAGTCCTGAGCCTGGGTGCCCTCGGGCCATTGCCTGGCGCTCCGAAGACGTGGGCCCGGGATGCCTGGCACTCCGAGGACGTGGGCCCGGGACGCCTGGCACTCCGAGGACGTGGGCCTGGGACGCCCGCGAGGCGGCCCCTTCACTCATTGCCTCCACTCTCCCCGGGGTTTCCCAAGAACAGGAAGTGCCTCGCTCAGGCCGATGCGACCCCTTGGTGTCCCCATCCCTTAGGGTCAGCAAGGATGGCGTGCAGGGGTCCCTGGGGGTGGCCGCTGTGTGCTGTGGGCAGCATGGTGACAGGAGCGGCCGGGCCTGCTCGGCCTTGGGCAGCCTCACAAGCAGGATCCTCAGCACCATCTCCCCTCAGCTTGGAGCCGTGCTGGGTGACGG